TTTACATTCTTTATAACATACTCTTTCGACATTCGTTTAAACGGCTCTATTTTTGTCAAACTTTATATCTCAGCTAGCAATGCATGTTACAAGTTTCTCTCCTTCGTACAATATAGATTTACAGAAAGAGTGAGAGTGAGTGAGTAAGTGAGTGAGAGATTGATCTTAATAGCTTTCTCAGCTACTCGTAACGCGCATTAATTTACATTCTTTCGAACACACTATTTCAACATTCGTTTAAACGGCTCTATTTTTTTTTTGTTATTCAAACTCTACATCTCAGCCAGCAATGCGTTGTTATACATTCCCTCTCCTCCATACAATATACATCTACAGAGAGAAAGAGGGAGGGGGAGAAAGAGAGATCGGGTATTCACGGCGCGCCTCGATAGCTCCGTTGTACTCCGCCACCTGCATTTTTAAATCAGCGGAACGGCGAAAGAGCCGCGCGGAACCGTGGACGCCGCGGGGTGGCGGCGGCGAGGGGGCGCGAGGGCGGAGGGTGGCGGTGCACTTAACGCGTGCATTATTAATCGGCGCCCGCGCGTGTGTATACCCCGCGCGATCCCGCGGATACGCGCGGACCCGCGCGTATTTCCGCCAACCGCCCCGTGATATCGCGCGCACCCCGAAGGCCGTGTGCGCGCGGCCGCCGCCGTCGATGCAGCGGCGAAATTATATCGGCCGCGACACTTGTCCGACTCTATACGGGGGAGGCTCAAAGCCGCCCGGCGAAGGAAGCGAACGCACCGCCACGGCTCGAGTCCTAAGAACGCGGGGGGGAGATAAAGGGAAAGAGAGAGAAAGAGGAAACTCGGACAATCCGAAAGCTTCGAGGTGGCGGCCGCGCGTCTCTCGGCGGAAAAAAATCCGGTCGGCCTCGTCGAACGCGTCGGATCTTCGTTTCGCGCGAACCGACAAAAAAACGTTCTCTCGTCGGGCTTACGCTTTCGCGTAGCGGCGGCTACGTACCGTGACCGAGTCCCCAGCGTGAGGCTTGATGGCAGAAAACGTGGACGTAACGCGAGACGGAGAGAAACTCGCGTACGGTAGACCACGAGCTTCTCTCCGCCATCGGCCCGAAGTTCGCCGCAGGTTGTTTATTAGCGATCGTCCGGGGCGACGGGGAGGCAGGCGACACGGTCAAAAAATTGTCTCGCGGAAACGGACGCGAACTAGGGGGGGGGGGGGTCGCGCGCTCGCGGCGTGTGCGCATGTGCGCGCCGTATAAATTCGGTACGAGTTCAATTTCCAGCGAGCCGTGTGTATACGAGAAACCGAGTCTTACGCC